CCCCCCCCCCCCGAATATGGGGCTGATCGGCCTGAAACTTGGCATTCTTTCTCTTCACTTTCATACGTAACGAATCACAGCAAAAAAAGTCCCGGATTAGGTAGGGCCGGAAACGGTCCAAATCGCCACCCGTCCTTTCTCCCCGGATCAACTCCCAAGATTGATCAAAAATAAAAAATTTCATCACAGTTTTCAATACAGACTCGTCTAGAACTCCTTTGTATGGAACTCGAACGGGAATGTTCAGATGAAAAAATAGAAAGAAAGGGACTTATAGGATACTGTAAAATGTGTATGAAAAGAATGATTCTGTTTCATAAAAACCCATCTTCTAATATGGACATTCAATGAGACAGCCTGTAACTATTATTGACTAATCACCACTGATGAACAAAGTAGAACTGTAATGCTGGCAAATACAAGTCTAATACCTCCGAATTTCTATGAAATCTTAAACATTTTTAACTTAACTGAGTAATCAAGTTTGGCTTGTTGAGTCATTAGGGGCTTAAAAAGACCTGAAACCTTCTAACAGTCCCTGCTGCAGATATTCATTATTTCTCAATTATCAATTGCGACATTTCAGATTCTTATCGAAAATTTCTAGTTTTTGTAGACATCTGGAAAGCTTCTAGAAATGTTCCAAATATTTGGGTTGCTAAGCTAATACCCCTTTTGTACATATACACAGATTAGGTTGTTTTTACAAGACATGCAGGAGAGATTAAAATTGATGGAGAATTGACAGCCATCACTTAAAATTCAATCGCTTGCATTTCAAAAGCGACTAGTTACTGATGTCATGGTGATAAAGAATAATTATTATCATGAACAGTGGAGGCAAGTTTATGATTATTCTGCTGATTTCTGAACAACTAACACAGCATTCACGGAGATCATAAAGATAAAACCATTTGACAGATAAAAGAGAATAAAAAAAAAGAGAGTGACAGTTTTGAGAGTGTATTTCTGGTATTGGGAAAATTGCTGCCATCTTCTTCGCTGGGAAAAAATACCAGTTCTGTCTTGTTGATAACATGTTAAGCACTTTCCTCCTTTTCTTTTTAAACAATACTAAACATAAAGTTGACTAAATTGAAAAATGAAATTTCTGGGAAACACTCGCTTGTCGTAGCCCAGAAGCCTGCAGTGATGGACACAACAAGAATCCACCGGAGGATTCTTAACTAAGTGGAGCAGCCCTCATTGGTTCTCTTACACGCAAAAATATCCCCATCCCTCAATATTTCGGGAAAGAAACCTCTGGGTAGGCGTCTTCAGGACACTTGCTCTGCCTCAGTTTGTCAGAAGTGAAAACCTATGCTGTGACTATTTATCTCCATGGAGGTCACTATTTTAAAAGTCAATGGCCAACCAATTCAAAAGCAACTCTCATACTCTGGGGCTTTGTCTGCCATCGTATGAGGTAAAAACCCACCTACCTCACGCTGGGCCATTGTGTTCAAAGAAGTTATAACTATGATCAATAAACAATTATTTTTAAATTTTGAAAATTTCTGATTTGAAATTCACAACATTTATAATTTGAAATCATTTGTACCCTTGTCCTAATTCGTTCCCTTGGAGGGGAGGAGGGGAGCGGCAGCAATGGACCGAACTTTTTTTTAAAGGAAGACCCCTCCTTGTGATACCTCATTCGAAAGGATTTAAAAAAAGAACATTTTCTGTGCAAACCCGAATTCATTATCTCAGACCGTATTACAGTAGCAGCAGGTTAAAATTCAAAATGGCCGATTTAGGGCATAAGATGGCCGCAATAGATTCTCCAGAAAAACGTGGTATCCTAGGTTAATTGACACCAAGAAACCCGAATTTAATGGTCCCATAGCTCTGCTGACCTTTTAAGGTGGTAATTAACCTAGGATACCACCTTTTTCTGGAGGATCTGAGACACCTTTGTGACCTAAGAGCAATTTTTTGGGAAAGCACCACCTCCCTCTTAGAAAGTTACTTTTGGGCGTTGGGTGGGTTAATGTGAACTCTTATAGATCACTTAAAGTTTAATTTTGCTCTGCTCTTCAATTTGGATGCAATCTATTTGCGATTTGGAAAGAACTCCTGAATTTTAAAATTAGCCCCCCCCCCCCCCCCCCCCTAGGGGGGCTTTGGGACCATGAAATTCGGATAGGGCCTTGTCTCCATGGGACGTTTTCATGGGATTTTTCCCA